TTTTTTTAACCTTTTCAAACCTTTGAATCTCTTAATTTCACAGCAATTTGTAAATGTTAACTAAGTGAAACCTTGGCAAGCACTACAGCAATAAGTTATCATTAATTATTGAAACATGATAACTGCTTTAGAGCTTATGGTTCTGGCAGCAAAAATTAATGCTGTTTCTTTTAATAATAGTTAAGCCATATCATCTAAGGTCTCTGGCTTGTTTGAGATGTGAATTTGTTTTATAGATTATAAATATACCTATATAGTGTATGTATAAAGCAGAATGCCTGTCCTTACTGATTATTTTTTGTACCATATTGTAAATTATATTATTTATTCTTTACCAATTTTGGAAAAAGGTGTTTTGGTTATTTAATATAATATACAAAAGCTGTTAAACTTCCTCTGTTTAAATTTCCAATTCAACTTGTAAAGCTGTTTTTATTCTTGTGCATAAATACATACTAATACTTGGTCTAAATTATGTCCAGTGTGTTACTTGCTGTTCATGCCCTATCAGATGTTTCTATTTAACCTTTATTTACATAATAATGGCCTCTTGGGGGAGGGCAGAAAATTTGTCCATAAGGCCAAGCATTCCAAGGTGAAATCTGGTTTCACTGAAATCAGTGTCATAACTTCTCTTGACATCTCCCATCGCAGAATTTTCATGATTTTCACCATGGTGAGAGAAGGTTTTGGTTGGTCTTTGGTTTGGGTTTTTTTTGCTTTACAGCTTCCATTCCCAGTAGTGTCTGCTAATAGTGAGTGTCAGAAAGCCCCCATCCCTCCGGTAGCCCTGGGGCGGAAGGCCGGTGTAGGGCGGCGGCGCTCGCCGCCTGCCCCGTGACCTTCCTGTGCCTCGGTTTACCTCTCCCCACCCCGGGGCTTGGGGTGGGGGTGATGCCGCCGCCGCGCTGCGCTCCCGGCGGTGCGTATCGCCTTGGGCTCGGGGCCACGCGTGGGTCACGCGGGGAGCGAGCGGGCAGGGCCGGCTCCCGTGGGGTTGAGGGCTTTGCTTCCTGCCCCGGCCTGCTGGGGGGCGGCTGAGCTCCTACCGGCGGTCACCGAGCTGGAGGGGGGGTCTGGATGGTCCTGAGGGATTCCGGTGCCGGAAGAGAGGCCTGGCGCTGTGGAGGCCCTTCTTCCCCCGTGTTGTACCTCCTGAAGGAGGGAGGAGGGCCTAGTTATGCTGCGAAGCTTTGAGAGGATCCAGCACAAACGCCTACATAAGCAGGTGTTAGCTTGTTTTTACCTTACGAAATTGAAATATATTGTTACACTTGGACGAGGGCATATATCCTAATAACTCGGAGCTGGAGTGATTAATCCATCTGCTAGGTAATCATGTGCTCCGAGGGGAAGGAAGGAAGGAACTGTTTCAAAATTGTGTAAGGGTGCTTTAAGTTTGCCCATTATTCCAGTTGCTCTAAGCTATGACCTGGTTTTAAAAGATTTTCTGAGGATGCTCTGCCCTTAATATAGTCTCTGAGAAACTTTTCTTCTCATGGTAATTTTGAAGCCATGTTAAACTCCTAAACTGGGTTTCTGGATAGAGTCTGGAATCATAACTTTTTCGTTAAGAACCATCGTAACTTTTTTGTCAAGAGCAAGTAAAGGTGGCCTTGTTACAGCTTGTTCTCTGTCATTGTGTGATTTCATCGTGCCTGGGGACTATAGCAATACACAGCTATATAAACAGACCCAGTACAGCAAGCATGCATAGTGGAGCACTGCAATACGTTACATTATTGGATTTTATAAAGTGGTCTCTGAGATGGTGACTATTGACATACAGCCTGTGCCATCAAAAGCAAGTACTTCGTTTAAGGACACTTTTTCCAGAGTTCATTCTATTCATTCCCTAAACAAAACTTTATTTGATGACAATGCACATCTTTTTGCAGTTCTTGGTGTGTAGAAGTTTTACTAATTAAAACAGCCTAATTCAAAATCCCTGCAGCAACCACAAATGGCTGTGCAAGTTGGAAAAAATAACTCTTCCTAATGTGAAAATCTTTGTGAGGGAATTAGAAACAAATGCTTTGCATTTGACAACTTCATAATACTGTATTTCTAACAAAGCTTCCACTTAAATTATTGTCCAGTGAGATAGATCTCTCACGATCCAGTTAATGTGTACAGTGATATAGCGAACTAGTTTGCTGAATCAAATTAACTGCCTAGTTTTATTTTATTAAACTTTAACAGTGATGCTTTGTATTTTTAAGGAAGTTTTGCTTTTCAAAAATAAAACGAGGAATTGCATGTCTAAGAGTTGCTGTTGCTCTGAAAGCAAAACAGGACAGATTCTATCAATTCTACTGGTGGTGCACACTCGAAAGAGGGATTGCTTTTATGTATCCTCAATTCGTCGAGTATACGAACAGTTTCACAACTATTGTCTAGAGCAGAAAATGTTAAACACAGCCAGCTTGGAAATGTAATACACATGTTCCCCTCCTCCCATCGGTGTTATTGCAGAACACTGCAATGCTTTCAGATCAAGAGCAAAACTGGCATAACAAAGCATGTTGTTTGTTTATAAGATGGGTGAGCTATTTAATGAGCCATGAGTTTATTGATCCAACAGCAAGAGTGCCCCCAGTCATTTTCTGGTCTTTGCTTCAGACCTTAACACCTGCTTTCTCATAGGCTTTCTGCTGTGTTGGCTGTATGGATTTCTGCTCTCCTATTTTACCTGCTTTATTAGTACTCTTTGAGAACTGGTAGGACTGCAGTGTTTAACTTTCAGGCACAATTAAAAAAAAAATATTTATATAGCCAGTGTCTTGAAGTAATGGATAAGTCTTGGCACCTCTTCCATAGGTCGGCTGAAAGGTTTAATGAGGAAAGGGCATTCAAATTCAAGTGTGTTAGAATGTAGGAAAAAAAGGCCACAAGGGCTAATTAAAATTCTTCAAGCCTGCCAGAAAAGAACAAAGCAATTAGTAGAGGCTTTTAAATTTACTGGGTAGGGTTCTTAGTTTAGCTATTCTAGATGAATTGACAGACTTCTAGTCTACTGGAGGGGAGGGGGAGAAGAGGCAGGTTTAGATTGTGTAGAAGACTAAGGGTTTTGTGTAATTACTGTTTGAAAGAATAAAACCACACATTCCCTTTCCCCCCACCCCCCTCCCAAAGCAAGAAAAAAGATCTATCTTATCTGGCTGTAAGAGACAAAAATATCTCTACGTAAACTAGCATAATACCATTATAAACTAAAATGACTGTGAAGTATGAACTAAAATTACTATAAAGTGTATGTTGAATTTCCTTGTACTCTTGAAGTAGCTCACACTGGTTTATCACATTTAGCATGCTGTTTTCCTTTGGTAGGATTCACAGACTAAATCTTACTTTCTTTTTTGGTTTGGGAGAACAACATATCACTCTGATCTAGAACTGAGTGACGCAGGAGTGCAAGGAGGTCAACAGTGCTTTAGAGGCTGCATACCTTTGTATTCTCAGTTTTTGGGTGAAGCAAAGGAGCACAAAACCCTGTCCTGTTTGCCATCATAAACTGGAATACTTTGTTGCTGTACTTCAAGATTATTTGGGGAAATTCCTGTGAATTAGTTAGACTTGTGGACCTGGTGTCACAGTCAGTTGAAAGTTTATGGAATATTTGGAAGGTTGCTAGCAATTAGAAGTTTCTGAAATTGAGACAAATCCACTTTGTGTATGTAGAGTCAAGACACTCTGTCAGAAAAGATCACCTATTATGCTGATTTCAAAGTGCCTTGATAGCACCTCAAGTGATGCCTCTGATTTATTAATTGCAGCAGTAGGGTTTTCTTACTGAGCTGAAAATGGGAGGACATGGAAGATTAATTTCTTACACTGGATTTCTTTTGGTGCTTAATTAAGCTTGCTAACTGAACAATAAAGACCTTTAATCTTAAAGTGGGGTTTCACTAGATTTTTTTTTTTTTTTTTTTGCAATGGATCTTAAACCCAGTTGCAGGAATGAGAAATAATTTGATTCTTATGACTGGTTGTTTTTCTTAAACAAAAAAAAATCTGAATGTAGTTATTTTGTTATTCCCTCCTAGCTTGTAGGCATGTGCTAAGAAAATAGTGTGATCAGTGGAGTGAGTCTATAGTATAAGAAACTCCATCTATATAAATGATATTTCTCTTCTTTTCAATCTCTTCGATAGTATACTTAGAACTCAAGAATGACTGGATGCATTTAAAAAGTAGCTAAAAAGAATGGGTAAAGTCAGAAATCACTTAAATTATATGAGGGATACTAACAGACCTAGTTTTTTAACAGGACCCCCATCCCAAGCTACTCTAGTTTTTCTTTATTGTTCTCTTTTCCTTCCATCTCCCAAGTTTAAATGCTTAAATTGCCTCATTGTTTTTGGACCATTGTGGATGATCGAAGTACATAATATGCCTATATGATGTCTGTTTTAATAGTCTTCTAAGATATATGGAAAGCATGGTTGGATCTGTAGTCTGTTGAATTGTTAATAAACCTTCTGTTTGGTCTTACCTTTGATCTTACCTGTGTGGTGGACGACAAGACAGTTGTCCAGTCTACTGAAATTCTAGTTACTCCCTCAGGCTAAAGGGGTTCATTAAATTCACAGTTGTACAGAGGATTAAAATATTGAAATTGGCCAGTAAAGACAGTCTCTCTGAGGCTGCTTCTGTCTACATAAACTAATCCCAGACTAGAAGAGGAATCTTTTTCTTCTTCGTCCCAAGGAGAATAGAACTGCTTTCTGCATCCTGAGATCTGAAATGCTGAAAAACCTCATTTTCTGGCAGAGAAGCCAAATATCTCTGCTTTTGGAAATGAAATCTTAAGAGTTAAATTGGAGTAGATCTTGGCTCTGAGAGGAGCCTCTTTTTCTGCCTGGTGGATATCTAACCTGAAATGATTTGCTTCTGTCACAGATCTACGAAGGGAATATGTTGTATTAATTCACTGATGTTTGAATTCTGTTTAGGTAGAGTGGGATAAAGATCTTTCAATTCACAACTGTTCTCTTTGTATAAAAGTAAAGGTTAGTTTAGGTCCCAGATCAAGTATTCAGATTAGAAGAGGTATAATTCAGCTACTACTTTTGCTCAGCTGCTAAGATTGTGGATAATTGGTCAAGTAGGCATAACCATAAAGATTATTTTTTATACCTAGGCATTTATCCTTTTCCTATGTTTTTCTGTTAATTTTCCTATGAATTACACTGATTCTGCTCCCAGGTAGTGGTTCAGTTCCTTTTCAGGGCAGAACCTGAAGTCCGTTGCACAAGATGAAAGTATTAACTGGACTTACTACTCCAGGATGAGCATGACTTTTTGTAGGTGTTAAAGAAGTCAGTCCATTTCTACTGTAACCTCTGATTTTTATGAGGATCTGTTTGATATACCTCCGGTGCAGAGCTTTGGTTGTAATGGATTTGCATCTTGTCCACTAAAAATCTGGCTTTTTGATATTTCACCTTTCTGCAGCAACTAATATGGTAACTGATGGTTGGAACTAGCAAATTCTTTAGTAGTTATGAAATGTCTGCTTTTATTTAAAAGTCAGTGGGTTTGAATTGTATAACAGATGCAAAGTTGGTATGTGCGGTTTAGCAGAAAGTCTGATTCTGTAATATTTATTTTGAAAATGCCAATCAGAGTCATATGTCTTATCTTCATCTCCTGTTGCTTCTGGAACACCACAGAGAGCACAGCCAGTTGTTCTGGTGGCACTGTTACAATGATTACAAGTAATCGTAGATAACATAATGATCAAGTTCACTGACCAGGAGGCTAGCAATATTTGTGCTGAACTTGAGAATATTTTGTTAGAACAGCTCTTGAAAAGTAGATACTTCATGGACACAGCAGAATTACTTGAAGTAAGTTCAAATCGGAATAGTTATTCATAACATACAAGGGAGAATGGGGAGGGGACATCAGATATATTGAACGCTGTAAATTTCAAATGCACTTTTGTCTCCTGCTTCTCTCTCATTCTTCAATGTAGGGTATTGAAGCCCCCAGGAGGAGGTTCAAGTAATCTCTTTGGGAGTACAGAAGAAGTTTGTTCTTCAAACAGGCCACACCGAATGGCATCCAATATCTTTGGAGCATCAGAAGAACCTCAAAACATTCCAAAAAGAACAAACCCTCCAGGTAAGAGCAGCCGCCTCCTTTGGCACAACTGGGGCTCTGAATTGCAGCACAGGACTGGTTTCCTATTCCTAAAGTGGAACACTGTGATCTGTCTGCCTTTATGTTGCGTTTTTACAAAGTGAGTGGGCTTGAACAATAAATCTATTCAGACTTCTGAATACATGAATATTTCAGTGATCTACATGTTCACAGACATCATCCAAGTTTAGTTCTTTCCAAGTTGAGGTCTAGGAAATGATGAAAGGAAAACTGCTTCTATTCTGGAGGTGTGTCATCAGTTAGCTGCAGTGAGTACAAGTGAATCTGAGATCCTTTAGTGAATTCTTAAAACAAAGAGCGTCAACTAGTATCTTCGGGCAAACAAAAGTAAATGTCTCAGCAGTAGTGGTCTAGAAATCTTTATATTCATATATATATATTTTTTTTTTTTTAATATAGTGTGGTATAGCTAATTAATCTGGAAAAAAAATCTAACTGCCTTTCAGGGGGGAAAGAAAGTGGTATTTTTGAGGATTCTAGTTCTGCTCAGCCTCGTCCACGCATGAATCCACCTGGTGGGAAGACAAGTGATATCTTTGGGTCTCCTGTATCAACCAGTGTTGTGCGAGCACACCCAAACAAGCCTAAGGTATTTGTACTTCTTTCACTGTCTGTCCAAGAAGCTAGCAGCTCAGTGTGTTGTCCTAGTCCTGTCACAATGCAGTGACTGTATTCTTTAAGGTGACAGACCTGAATTATGCATAGGGTACCTTCAAGTTAGGCAGTTATACCCAAAGTCTCTTTCTGATAGCCAGTTATCTTTGGTATATCAGATCTCAGCATGCTCTGTAGTTGCAGTAATTAATTAGACTCTGAATGTGTGTTCAAAAAAAAAAAAAAATCTGAAACCTTTGGTCTTCCTTGTAAGTGAGGGACAGCTGGAGTTCTTGGTGCACAGCCAAGAGGTATTTAAGCTCGATAGGGAGAAGATATCTCTCTTTATTCTGCAGTTTGGCAGAGGTGATCTTGATGCCAACTCTGGAAAGTTGGTGAACACCAGTGAGCTACAGTCATAAATCTTTATGTGGCCTGGCTGTTCCCTTCACCTCTTAAATATATGTACATTCAACATGAAAGCACTTTAGCAGGAGATTAAGCTTAAGTGATCAACAGTGGAAAAAATGAACTCAAGATCAGCTTTGAGTGTCAGGTCCACCATGTTCCTGATTGTGTGATGTCAGACAAAAGTGTATCTTGCTATATCAGTTGTTATTTTTTTATTTTAAAGCTGGGATGTGTAATAGAGAGTTTTTTAGTTTTGACAAGAGCTAGTTTTAGAAAAAAGGATACATTGCCAGTTACTTTAATTTTGTATTTAAATGCCCTATATTTGGATTTACAACCACATGCTTTACTCTAGATCCTATTAAGTGAGCAGCTACTATGTTGGCAATGTTTATGACATGTCATATAGCACAGAAAGTTAACATCCCATGAAGCACAGCTCACTGTCTTTGTGCTGAAAAAGTAGTAGCAGTCCCATTTTTCCTGGAATCTCAGGGGAAAAGTCCAATTTAACTTTTTTTTTTTTTTTCTTCCCCTTAAATTTGAAGGTGCTGGTAGTGTGCTTTTGCCTAACTTTATATGCAGACTCTGGAGTCTATTTGGGCCATAAGAAAGGAGGACAAAAAAAAGACTTTGAACTAGCTTTTGTCAGGAGTAGTACTGTTGGTGTAGGGAAGGGGTTTCATTTTGTTCCTCTGTACCCCTTTATTGGGCTCATCTCAGATTCTTTTTCATTGCTTTTTAAAAAATGTAAAATACTAGTTCCTGTGAATTCCTGACTAAATGGAGGACAACACTTTGGAAATTCCTATGTCTTCGTTTAGAGCATTGCAAATGTGGGAAATACTGGGGTGGAAAAGAGATAGCATATTTGCAAAAATCACTGCAAGTTGAATTTCTTGGAGTTTTCATGCAAGCTTTTCTGAAATATTTGCAGTGTATTTCCTAACAGTCAGTTGGGATTGTTGGGGAAATGGTCTAAAAAGATTTTGTTTTGTTAATTACCTGACTGTTGGCTTCACTGTGGATGCTCACTGAAGGCAATAATTGCTGATTATAAATAGGGTGCTCAGGGGCTGATGGTGTTCTGGTTGTGAGTACCAGCTTCTGGGTGGTAGTGGGTGATTGACAAGAATGGTAATTCCTGACATTTGGACTGCACTGTTTATCATAAACAAAGGTTTAAGCTTCTCATGAACTAATGTAGTGTCTTATGTGTTTCAGTGAATTGACTGAGATGCGCACCTTGGAATAATGTAGGAGTTATCTTCTACCACTGCTTTCGGGGTTAGTGGAGGGGATGAAGGGCTGCACACAGAGTCTGTTGGCTTTTACCATGATAAATGAATAAACTGAGATGAGAAACAAAGCAAAAGGGTTTTGTGACAGACTTACTGTTTGGTAATATACTAAGGTAGTTTTTGGTTTATTTGCAGGATCACATTGTCTTGAAAGAAGATGAAACACCAAAGAAGCTAGAAGGTCAGCAAGAGAAATTCCTTTCTCTGTTATCTGTGAGAAGATAAAGTCTGAGGAATAACTCATTATGCTTCCTCTTAAAAACATAAGACTAAGGCTGGTGCTTAGGATAGTAGAGCTGAGAAGTTTTCCTTCTGTTTGTCAGAAATTGTCACTTACCTCAGGGAAATGGTTCTCTTCCTCTTAATGAGGAGAACACAGCCATAGGTCTTGATACTATGTGCGTGTATATATACTTTGCTTGATAATGTGTATGGATATATATGGGATATGTATATATAGAAAAACATCCTGTCAGATTGCTTCTTCCACCCTTGCCATTGCCTTCAAGTGTGTAACCTCGGCCTTGTGTAGTTGTAAATAACAAATAGCTGACTGACAGAATGTATTATTGCTCAGCTAGTTATTGTTAAAGAATGATGGGAATGCTGCTTTCGCAAAACTCAGTGTGAAAGGATTCATTGGTATGTTGAAGGTCTTAATGGCCTGAAACTGCCAAAGTAATTCTGAAGGTATATTGGTAAGCCTACATATCCTTGTTAGAAAGATTTCTGAAGGAAGAGAGTTGTTACAAAAAGTTAAATTCTTCCTCAGCACCTATATCCTTCAGGAAAAATTAACAGATGCAGAGAAACCTTAGTGTGCTGTGGGTGGGAGACATGGGAAATAATGCAGCCTATAGAAGATAAGACACTTTGTGCACTACAGAATAGCAAGTTGATCTAATCCCTTCTCTTTTTATTCAGCTACAGAAAATATCAAACCACAGATGGAAGATGGAGGCGAGAAAAAAGATCTGGGCAAAGAGGAGCGATGCAAGGACCCAGAACCCAAGATAGACAATCATGAGCCTCGATTAGGGCCAAGGCCACGCTCACACAACAAAGTTCTCAATCCACCAGGGGGGAAATCCAGTATTGCATTCTATTAGGGTTATCTGTTCACTTTCACTAACGGAGTCCGCACAGAAACTCTTGTCTGTGGTTGCGAGGTCAGTTTATAGATTATTATTGGGGGATAGATTCTTAGGCAGATGGATGAGGGTTATACTAAAGTGTGTGGGAAGGATAACCTGATGACTTGGGGAGGGAGGGCTGGGGAGGGAAAGGGTGCCCTGTGGAAAATGTGAGCATTGGCCTGTCTGGGTGGGTGTCAGAGGGGGCAGTAGTGTAACTTTGTGAAAGATCAGTGCTACTTTGTGGTGAGTTCATCAGACTGTTAGGTTCTTAGCTAGCTCGTGGCTCAGGACACTCTTGTGGAGTCAGGCTTATCCCTACAGTCAGTATGTAAAACGTTGTGAACGGGTAGGAGCCTGGAGGTCCTATCTGAAGGGTTCTGAAGCACAGCAGGTAGGCTGTGCTTCCCTCTAGGCAGCAGGGTGCAGCTTCACAGTGTGAGTTGACTTGCAGTCACTGTAATGTAAATATGTTCCCCTGGAACAAGTAGTGCTACTGTGGTTTTGAATGTCTTCAGTCTTTGGTTCTCTTTCTCCTTTCTTGCTTAGCAGCACATGATCGCTGATACAAGAGCAAAACATGCTGAAAGTTTTTTATACTCATAATATTGTGGGCTTCCCCTCCCCAGAGTGTTCAGGCCTTTCTAATGCCTTCAGCAATCTGCTGATTACTACAACTAGCTCTTGACAAGTGATTGTATCAGTCCAGCACACTGTTTCATGTAGGTGCTTCTAGAAGACTTTTATTTAAAGTATCCTGATTGAGTGCTTGCACATTTCTGGTAAATATGTGGGTGCAGTGTACAATTACCATGGAGAATATAGGGAGGTGTCCAGCCAGCTAGCTTTGACCCAACCTGTATAGAAATGCCTTCGCTTCTGCAAAGGTTTTCACTTTGTACCCTGTGAAAACCGGGACTGTTCTACTGTCTTCACCACAGTGCATTTTTTGTTTGTTTGTTTATCTGTGCTGACTCTGTTAGTGAATTCTCTTGTCTTTGGTCAGCCTTATGTTTGCCTTTGGCTGCCTCAAGATTTTTGTTGGTAAGGTTGGGAGAACTGCATGGATTCTCCCCAAACCACAGTCGTAATTGTTTTGAGACATGCTGTAGACTATCCTAGTTGGAGAAACAAAGACTTTAGCAATACAAACCTTTTGGTTGTGCTGACTATCTTAAATCATGTTTGGAAGATGTGCATATTTTGCACGAACATTTGTTAGGGAGGGTAGCTCCCATCATTTGTTCTCTGATCATATCTAGGGCCTTGATACATGAATGTTAACATTAGGTGCTTACTGTTCAACGTATTTAATAGTGACTTTTTAAATTTGACATATCGAAACAGGAGTTGTTCAGGTACACCAAAGAACACGTGGCCTTATCTGCATGTATCTGCTGCTGTTCTAGCCCAGGTTCCCTGGGAACTGCCACTCTTCAGAGGGGACTGTCTCTGGGCCAGGTGCTAAAACACTCTGTGATTCTAGTGCTCACTAGACTGCTCGGTTCAATTGATGTCAGAAGTGGTGGATGACTGCCTGAAGACTTAGTTGCCTTTTCAGACAGGGAAAGTGAAATATATGGGGCAGTGCTAAGGGCAGAAATAGCCATGGAAGGTGGGGATTTCAGTGCCCCTTCAGAGAGGTTTGGAGCTCCCTGTTATTTGGCCCCCTGGGAAGACAAGATGGTGATTCTAACTGCAACTCTGGGATGGATTTATGTTACTTCCAAACATGTATTTCCTAGCAGCTATTCTTGAGTCTGTGCTGTCTAGCCTTTGTCTGAGTCTTGGACACATCTATTTGTTTCAATTCCTTGTTTCAGTACTTGACAGGGTTTTAAGAGGCCACCATGTGGAAAAGTCAACCAGAGGCTGATTTCTGCATTGAAGGGTCTGGTATCATTGATGCTATCCGTAATACTGAGCTTAGACTTGGCATCTTTTAGTACCTGATGTGCATTGGCTACAGTGCCTGTCTTTTAAACAGTAATTTCCAACTAGGCCTTAAATTTGTTAAACTATGTTCATTCTCTTGTATTTTTTTCTTTGGAATCTAAACCATGTTTTCAACTCATCAAGTAAGATTGATAAGAGCATTTCTCCGGGACAGAAGGTGACTGGAAATCAAATGATAAATCATGCAATTGTCAATAAACCTCTGTATTTTGTTACTTCATTGTGTGCTGTAGATGTCTGCTTTTATAAGTTAATGTGTAATCTAGTTCCATATAGATACACTGGTGAATTTAGTTATCTGAAACTGGAAAAATTGCACAAATCTTTTGCCTTCTGTACTATGGAGTATGCTTTGGAGATGTGACATCCTGCTCAAGGTTGCTCATGAGACAAGCACCTCTGTCCCTGGGAGTGTGCAGGGACAGCAGCAGGGCCGGCTGATCAGGTCGATGCCTGTTCGTGGACAACGTTCTGTGGTGCTCTGTACAGTGCAGGGATGCTGTTATACTCTGCAGCAGTATTGTAAATAGACTTAAATACTCAAATATTTTAAAGGTTTAAGTCTATTTGTAGAATAGTGTAGTAATTCCCCTTGAGCAGGGGATGCTCTTTATATGGAGAAGTCATACCTTCACTTCCACATTTCTGGTGAGTGCACAGAACTCTGTGCCAGACTGTTTTGGCTAACAGAGTGGAGGTAACCACAGCTGTGGAAATTCCAGTTCTGGGTGAGTTGGATGTGGTGGCCTCTCTGCCAGGGTGTTCTAAATCTGCTGCATTCATCCCTTAATTTACAGACTATGATGCCCTACAGAGCCTCTCAGCAGTTGTTTCTGCAGTGACTTCTGTATTCTGTCTGCACTGGGAGTTTTGCCATTTGTGGTTCAGAACTCTTCTTTCAAGCACGCACAATGCTTTGGGTCGGATCTGCTGAGTGTGGGAACTTGTGAATATCCTTGATGGATAACACATTAGCAACAAAGGATTGTCCTTCCCTTGAACTGCTGCCAAATACTAGACTACAGTGTAGTTTCACTTTGCAGCTCTACGTTGCCTCATTGAAGGTTTGTAGCTTGAACGCTTAGGATAGGATATTATCCATGTTACTTTCTGAGTCTTGGAAGGAAAATAGTTTTATCTGTTATAATAAGCTTAGCTTGGGAAGTGGTTAACAGATGACTTGCATGCTTTCCTAAGTCATGTGTACAGTTCTAGGCATAGCTGCTGCTGAGTTCCAAAATAAGTCACCGTGCCTGACGTACAAGACACTGCCGCTCCAACGGGCCCCCCAGCTGCAGTGTGTCACCCTCCTGACCCCCTGTGCGCCGCCTCAGCCCGGATCGGTGCCTGTTTGCCCCTATTAAGACTGTGGGCTTCCAGGCAATACCTTTTAAACAAGTGCTGTCTGATATTGTCCTTCTGTTCCATCACTGCATAACTGCTGATAAACAGCCCACATTGCAATCTCAGTGAGGAAGATTAACGTCCTCTCTGTTTTAAGTATTACTGTGGTTGTTTTGAAGGATTTATAGAGGTTAATCAGACTTGGGACATCTAAAGTGAATTCTTGGGACTTGTCTAGTGAGAGAACATACATAAAGCGTGTGTGGAGACAATTATATAAGTGCCAAATGAGTAACTGTCATGTGGTCCCTGAAGCATTCTGCCATTTGCTTATGTATGGGGGGCTCAGCGTGAGGTGAGGTGGGGGTACCCCAGCTGCTGGGGTGATCCGCGCTGCAGGCGGTTTGGTGCTCGCCTGCCAACACGGGGACTGTGCTCAGCTGTCAACCTGCATCGTCACAGCTGGGAAGCCAGCTGGCAACCCAGCGTTTTGTTCAAGCCCTCTGAGTCTCCTGGTGAATTTCAGCTTGGAACCCTACTGAGATTCTGCATCACAGTCCTGTCCTGGGTTAGGGAGAGCAAGAGGATACTGGCCTCTGGGCGTAGGCTGCCTGCTGGTGACCAAGGGCAGGGTTAGAGAGAGGCTTTGGCACACAACTGGCCACTGATGTCATTACTTGTTACCAGCTGCGCAGGACGCAGACCGGGTAATGATTTATTGCTGGCCAAGAACTGATGCACAGGATCCCTGCAAGCAGCCAGCAGACTAAGCTGGATGTCCTGGCTGCTAGCCCAGCTTGCCACTGCCCCTGAAAACAGTCAGTGAGCAAAAAGAGCAGATCTTAATTACTGTGCTAAATTTGCAACCCTCATTACTTTTATTCTGTCATGCTTCTGGGGATGAAGATTACCCTCTTGAATCTGGCTTTCCCTTCTTTCAAGATGCAACTCCTGTTATTAACAGGACCTCCTCTTCTTCAAGCAGGTCAAAATGCTGGCCATATCAGCAAGAACACAGTAATGTGCTTTACCCACCAGCTTCTGGCTCCAGCCAGCTTCTAATTCTGGTCTCTTTACCCTGCCACCTCCCTCCTACACAGACATGTATTTTAAATAGTAGCTGTGCTGCCTTTGGCTTCTTGATTATCGCTCCCATGCCGCTCCTAGGTGTATACTCCATGCTGCTCAAGCTGAAGCACAAACAGACCTGTGCCAAAGTGTCAGAAGCACAGAGGTCTATCAGAAGTAACCAGGAACTTAATGTTGTGCCCCTTTTTTCACAAAGATAATCACTTTTCCTCCACTGCCACCTCCCACAAACAGGTAAACATGGGCTCCACTGTGTAGAAGTGTTTAGTGTTCTGGCTTCTGGGAGCATGCTCTGGGTTATGGTGAGCAAAAAAAAAAATTCACCTCGGTATGAGTTGCCTGAACTAATGTCCATGTTTCACAGTTTACATTTTAAGAGTTGCAATCCACCATGTCTTACACAAGAGGAAGGTTCTGCCAAATATTGTTGAGCTGATCATTTCCAGGGTTGCCCAATGCTAGAGAGAGGGTGAGGGGTGGGGCTTTGTTACCTGCATGACATGATCAGTGCAACACTACAAAAATTAAACAGAACCAGCTGATTCTTTCAATTTCTTGCAGCACGTTGACCCATGTGAATGTTAAAGCTTGTCATGAAAATAAAAGGTTGGCAAAGTAGACTGCCATGCAATTACTTTGTAAAAAGTCTCTCCAAAGTGAGTACTGGCATCTCAACAGCAGTCTCAAGCACGAATTGCGAAGATGGGCAAAGCTGAAGGTGGCTTTCTGGTCATCAGTGGAGTAATTAGTGAAAACAGCAGTTAAACAGGAGTTACAGGAAGCTGTTGCTAATGGAGATGAGCAGGTATGGTTGCAGGAAAACTCATTCTCTGCCTCCTTACTCTTGTTACATCAGCTTCAAGCTTTATTAATCTGAGCTGTAAGACATAAGCAGTCTTTTACAGAATCCCAGAATCATCTCAGTTGGAAAAGCCCTTGAAGCTCCTCTAGTCCAACCATAAACCCCACCCTGACCATTCCCAACTCCATCAGATCCCTCAGTGGTGGGACAACCTGACTCTTCAACATGTCCAGGGATGGGGACTCCCTGGGCAGCCCATTCCAACGCCCAACAGCCCCTTTGCAAAGAAATCCTTCCTCAGAGCCAGCCTGACCCTGCCCTGGGCAGCTTGAGGCCATTCCCTCTTGTCCTATCGCTTATCATTTGATTCAAGAGACTCATCCCCACTCTCTGCACCCTCCTGTCAGGGAGTTGCAGAGGGCCAGGAGGTCTCCCCTTGTTCTCTAAGAACAACTCTGCCTGGAAGAGGCTCTAGTAGAATCCTCCCAGCCTAAAGCTGGTTTTTGTGCAACAGACTCAAAGGTCATTAGAATCTCTCATCTTCAGATTACACAAAAGGGTTTTAAAAGCATGTGCAGGGATCTTTGAGCGATGGGCTCTCCAAAGCCCCCTGTAGCCAGCTGCAGCTCTCCTTACTGGAGTGAAGGCAGGAGATAGGGATGCTCCACGGCAAAGCCTGAGGGATCAGCAGCGAGACTTCAGTGCTGTGTCACCATGAACCTTGTTAACCATGGCAGACTTTAAGGAAAGTATGTCACAACTCTTCTTCCAAACAGAAGAGTTAAATTTATTTTCTGGTAACTTGGAAGTAGATTACAGGATGCCGAACAGGCTTTTGAGCTTCTTCCATGAAGCAGCAAGGACAGGACTTCCAGTATGTGTCCCAGCAATCGTCACAGGCCCAACACCATGGAGCTGAGCTGCACCATGGTAAACAAAGAGCTGATGACTTCCTGCCAGCCAGGCTGAAGTCACTGCTTTAAGCCAGGTGTTGGTGGTATTAACACAAAAAAATCAGCCACTGAATACTTGTCATCATGCTTTCTTCCGTATGCAAGCCTCCAACAGAAGTATATAGTACTGCTGCATGTGGTTTTTCATAATCACATTTGAATACTTGCCATGGGATTTTTTCACTACAAAAAAAATGCAAGTGCAGGATTTCGGTACAGTGGCTGTAGGCTGAGGAGGGTACTTGAAGCCACAGAGCAGCAGGAGTCTGATTTAGCAGCTGACAATACGCTGGTGAGGCCTCACATGGAGTACTGAGTCATTTTGGGCTCCCTAGTACAAGCAAGGTGACTCAGGGAGGGTGTGCAGCAAGAGGCCACAAAGGGGGGCAATGAACTGGAGCATCTTTCATAAGAGGAGAAGCTGAGAGAGATCTGGGGCTGTTCAGCCTGGAGAAGGCTCCGGGAGATCCTACCAGCGTGTTTCAGTACCTGCTGGGCAGGAGCGAGGATGAGGGAGCCAGACTCTTCTCTGGACAAAAGGCAATGGGCACAAATTAAACCACACAAATTCCTCCTGAACACCAAGAAGCACTTTTTTACTGAGAGGGTGGTCGAACGCTGGCACAGGTTGCCCAGAGAGGTTGTAGAGTCTGTGGAGACGCTCCAACTCAGACTGGACGTGGTCCTGGACAATCTGCTCTGGCTGATCCTGCTTGAGCAGGGGGTGCCAGACTAGATATCTCAGGAGGTTACCACCAAACTAAAGGAGTCTCTGATCTTGCATTCTGTGACTTACCACCCCACCCACCAATTTCTACGTACCAGACTCCAACAGGGAAACACTTGGTCTGTGGGGTGAAATGAATTTACAGTGTAACTACAAACTCAGACGACCTCACGCTCTCAGCAAATCAGACTTTGCTTTGATGCGTGGATTTGTCTTCTGTGATATCTGTTTAAAATGTGACTTTAGTGGATGCTGTCAGTGCCTAAATTGCTTTCAACCTACTAGTGTTTATATTAAATGCAACTTGAGCAGAGCTGCTCTTTCTCTTTAGAATTTGTAATAATTTACATAAGTCATTTACTTCAGCATTTCTTGTACTTGGCTGTGTTAAAGTTTACCTCATTCTTAAAGCATCCTTTGTGCTTTTGTAAACACTGTGGGAGTGTTCGTGAGCATTTTGCATAGTGAGAAGGGCAGTTGGCTGAGTCAAAGAAGCCTCTAGCATTGGTAAGAGCACCCTTGGTTAAAGGACAGAATTTCAGATCAAAACCTTTTATGCTTTTGAAGGAAATGGCTTACAGAAGCATTTCTAGTAAAGTAATAAGCAATTAAGCTAGGCTAGTGTGCAAAAGGTAATCAACTTGATTAATTCAGTCTCCTGCCTAAAGAATACCGGTGGTGTCACTTGCATGGGTATGTCATTTGTGGCAGATGGGTGCTAATCCAGAGCAGTAACTGCAAGGGGAGGCCTGCCAAGGCATGTGGGTCGGCAAGTGCTGATGTACAGGGTTCTCATGCCAAGGACAGTGGTGGGCCGGGCAGGCACACCTGGGGGGCGCGGTTTGGAGGCAGGACAGAAAAGCAGCTGCCCGGCGGCTTGTGAAGAAGCCGCAGCACAGTTGGTTTCACTTACTGTAGTGTAGCTACTGAAATGCCCCATGCAGGGTTCTGCACAGAGGAGAACGCCCGAGAGCCATCCAGCAGACACTACACCTGTGTGCCAGGAATAAGAAAGTGTGGACATTCCTTTTCCATAGACAGTCCCCTTCAAAATTCCCTTTAAAGATGTTTGAAAGAGGTTAAAAATCCCCCGCTGAACAGAAGGATCAGTGCCGTGTCTGGCCGCCAGCACTGCTCTCATGCTCCAGAGATTCAGCTGCCGCCGTTTCCCGTTTCACCCCGGAGGAGCGGCGCCGCCTCTGCAGGGCTCCCGTCCCCCCGCTCCAGCGCTGCTCCCTTCCTGGTGCCGTTCAGCGTCGCGCCCTGCCCGATCAGAGAAGCCTTCAGTGACCAGGAGCCTGTTCCCGCTGCACACAGGTACTGCTGCCATGGCGTCCTGCCCTTCCCCTCGCCCTCTTGCAAAAACATATAGCTGCCAGCAGCTCCGTACCAGGTCAGACACTACACGCTGCATCGACATTTTAACAGACAGTTCTCTTAACACATTTTTAACCCATTTTTACATCGGGGAATTACTTGTATACACACCCAACAGCTACTCCGTCAGTGACAGTGGCTGGCTGATGCAAAGCTATTCTGCACCCTTCAGCACACTCACCTGTTTCTTGTCCACAATATTGAGGCTAACAGAGGCAACAATGCAGGCAACAGTGTTTGCCAACATAAAGATCATCATCTGTTGCCAGCGCCACAGGGGGATCTTTAATTCACTAGAAAAGGCCAAAAGAGAATAGAGTAACTAGTCACTTGCAGATATTTAACGCACCTCTATAGTTCCTTGCAGCATCAAGTTGCAGGCACTGATTTCTGTTCACACTGTTCCCCTAAAGCACTGCTGGTGTCTCTGCTTGAAAAAAAGGAAAAGCACTCTCACCTGGACTTTGTTCCTAGGACGTGTCCAACAACCAGATTCGAAAGGCCAACTCCAACCATCTGCACAGAAGTTGCAAGCCCCATGGCTGTCCCTAAAGTTGCTTGGGGGACCACGAGAGGTATGGATGGCCACATACTAGCCTGGCAGGAGTAAGGAAAAGAGGAATTAACTCAAAGCCATATTTAAAGGATAGGAGAAGGTCATTGGTTTAAAAAGAAATTCGCATTAAATATACATTTATGCTTTCTCTTAAAAAAATCTGTTACTTATCCCTCCCAGTGTATTGGCTGGTTCCAGACTGTTCCCTATCCTTTTCAAGCAGCTTTGAGACAGCACAGACAACACAGGTTATCTGAAACAGGAATAACCTGATGGGGAGTTAGACCTGATGATTTAGCTGATAAAACTCATGGAGATTCAGGTGTTACATTCAAGGTAAAAAAGCACTAAGAAAAGCACAGATTAATGCTTCACTCTGTATCAAATGGTCCCTTACTCTGCTTTTCATTTTGCTCCATATTGATTCTTTGGGGTTATTTGTTAGTAACCAAACTCTTCAGGATTGGGGTTGAAGCCTGGGGTTAGGCTGTGGCTGCTAAACCTGCTCACCAGGACACGGGGCAGGGAGATGTGCTACCTGGGGTGTGGGAGCACAGCCACAGAACACTCAGCTACAGCAGTGGTGCTGTGAACTTACGGCAGCAAAGGAGTAAGTAATCCCCAACCAGATGGTAGAGACTAACGGGGGCACAAACGTAAACGCCAGGAGAGCGAAGACAGGCAGAGTCAGCGCAGCACAGCCAACAGCAAAGACACCCCTCAGTCCAACGTAGTCCTGGCAAAGGAAACAAACAAGCAAACAGGCGGCCTCTTACAAGGGATCCCCACAGGTCCTGGGGACAGGAGTGGCCACACAGAGTGGGTTGCCCCCAGTGGCGTGTCCTAGTTGTTGCTATTGCCATTACTAGTTCCTCTTGTGTACTTCTGAATGGAGACTGAACCCTCTGTCAGGGAATCAGTGTCCAGCACTCATGTACAACGGCAGGCTTTAATAAAGGGCGGAGCAGGGAAACACACCATTATGCCCTGACAATTATAGAAATAAGGAAGGGAAGAGTTTGAGAAAACAGGGACTGATTACTTGCAGGTTGTCCTTTCCCATCTACTTGCAAAGCTTACTGTGATCCCTTCTGTTCCAGTCTCAGGTTTCTCAAAACATACAGCCATTCGCCATGGTCTGACACTACCACAGCACAATCAAGGGACATAGGGGAAAAACAGGTTAATGTTATTTCTTATAATTTAATTCAGACTCGTGCATCTTGCAGTTTGCAAGTAATTAAAAGACTGCTTATTCAGAAACAGGCTAAATTCTGGTTGAGGGGGTTGTTACAAAAATATTTCAAAAAAATTATTAAAAAGTAATCAGCAAACGCTTTGCTTTTGGGTACTCACAATTAATATGCCAGCTGCTGCAGAGAGAACAAGGGAGCTGTCGTACACTGCCCCAGCAATATAAGCGGCTGCCTGCTGACTGTAACCAGAATATTTATCCTGGATAAACTTGCTAAAAATAAAATGAAGAGGGGAAAAATTACATAATTAGGATTCTTGATCTGGTTATTTTGACAGAAAGTTAGTCTGAGCACAAGCATATGGAGAGGACAGGTTTTAATGAGAGGACCTGTAACCAAGCCTTTATTGTTTGTTTTGGGTTTTTTTTTAATTGGTGCACACCATAGAGAAGCTGGTAGCTTAAATGGCCACTTTCACAATGCTTCTGCAAGTGCATTATAAAACTGCAGGTTGAAGTTGGGCATATGCTCAGTTACATCAGAACAGCTCACAAGCAGCAGTTTGCTGTCACCTGTCCAAAACACATGGATTGATTTTTTACATTCTCTTTGAAAGGGCAGAAAGCATTATCAATCCAAGGGTGAGAACGCTGAGGGACAGGAAAAATATTTTTAAATAATCCATCAGCATAGACCAGCATTTAAATTGAACAACTGTATTTCAAAAGTACTAGGAATTCCTCCCTGGCATCTTTAAGAAGACCTAGTGAAAGCAGAAAACATGCAAACCAAGTTTTGTTTCCACTGTCAGAAGTCAGCCTTTCACCTTTCTTAGGGACACACACAAAGGGCATTAAAACTTACTCAAATCCTTCACAGAATTTACAGTCATACAGTCATAACAGCTTAGAAAGACTAGTTTATTTAGAGATCTTGTAGTTATTTAAACCCGGTTTGCCTACTTGCATGGCTACTTACCATTAGTAATAACAGATCTTTGTAGCTTGTGCTGACAGCAAAGTACGAAACAAGACACTGTTCCTGAAGATTTACTGCAACAGCGTTTGCCAAAGAGCAGTGGCCTTGGCACCCTTGTTTTTCAAACTGGGAAGCAATTTTTGCCAGAAAAGATGTATGAAACATGACTCTTAGTGCCTGAACTTTTGTTCCACAGGGAGAAAAAAAAAAATCTGCAGGGAGGCAGAACTGCAGAAATGAGGATTCTGTGTGATCAATAGAGACCGTTTTCAGTTAAAATGAGAGGGCAACTGATAGAAAGCCCATCTCATCGGGGCCTTGATGATACTTGCCATCTTGAATGTCTGTATTTTCCTAATAAGAGGTCACTTCTACATTTGTTATGACAATGTTGATGACATTTCTTCACGCCTGATTTCACAGTGTGTTACCATATATCACTAATGAAATACTATCAAAATAATTTTCTTTTTCACTGCAGGCCTTTGCTAATATAAAAGTTCATATTCATTTGGTGATAGAAGCTGCATTATCAACAAACAGGAAAAAAGCAGCAAAATTATGAGTCTGTGGCAGATCTACAGGACATAAGCAGGAGTCCCAATTCAGTTGGGCAGGTTGCTTCCTTGTTTTAAGCAAATGAAGGCATAAAAAAGGAAGTCTGCAAGCCTTGCACTGGGATGCAGACGCTTCCTCAAGCTGACGCAGGCTTAGCTTTGTTCCCTACACAGCAGACAACATGCAGGAGCTGCAGGACAGAACTGCCCCGGGCCTGTGAAGCTCATGCCCCACCCAGCTCAGAAGACAGCCACTTTGTTGGACTATCACAAAGGTAGAATGTCTATGGGCTATTTTTTATGTAAAGTATTTCTTCCCCTTCTCCCAAATCCTTCTGATCCCCCATGTTCCAAGCTTTAAATATTGGATTAATTATTTCCCTTTAAGTTATTTTTGCTTTCCTTCAGAAGCCTCCCTCATCTCTGAAGGGAAAGAAAGGTCAAAGAACCCTCATATCTTTAACTAGGTATTACAGACATCTTTCTCTGTGTTTCACAAGTGGAAGGAACAAGCGTATTACCCTGTAAACTACAAATGAAGGGTCTGCAAGGCTCTGATAGGCTTGTATCAGGCAGGGGGACTACAGCCATAGAGCAATACCTGGCGTCTGCCACAAAGGGGAAGACTCCATTGTAGAAGAACATGATGGTGAGGACCAGGAGCCAGTAGCGAAGGGGAAGTCGCTGGATGTCCTGAATCCGCTGCAAAGATAAAATGTGCCCTCACTCACCAGGAAATAGTCTTCAACTTCACATTAATGTCACTTCCTGCAAGCCATTGAAGGTCGCAAGAAATTTAAGTAACAGCAGGTAAAAGAGAATTGAAAGGTAGCTCATGTACCTCTATGCAAAATTTGGCATGTGCTGACTTCAAAGCATTCCTTCTTTAACGCTATTCAGCAAAGAAAACAAAAAAGCTTTCATCTTATTTCTGTAAAGGTTATGGCTGCAAGAGACTATTCTAAGTAACCTCTTAAGAGCCTACTGCAAAGCCTTAACTGAAACACAGTGGAAAGACACAATATAAACAGGAATCACAACACTGAGATTGAGAAACCATTAAGAATACTGTCATGAGAGAAGGAAGCTGTCTAATAGATTTAAGTGCCATAAAAATTGCAACCTCTTGCCTATAATGCTTGCTCCTAAACAGAAGGATGCAAGGAGGAATGCAAGATAAGGGCTGGCAAAAAAAAACTTCAGTACTGACCAGATTAGCTATTTTCTATCAATGACAGATCCTGTGAGCCAGAGAGCCATCCCAGAGAGAGGCTACTGGCTCGTTTTATGCACAGAATCCACCTCTGAGCCATGTACAGTCAAGAAGTAACTGGCTCAAACAAGTAATGCCATTCAGAGTGCTAACTCGGCTCTCTGAAAGGCTGTAAATACATAAACAGAAAATTTACACTTGTCTGGTGGCTTGCAGATGCAATATCCTCAGATGGACCTGAAGAATTGCTCTGCAAGATTTAACCAGGGGTGTTAATGCCATCTTCTGGCCAGGACCAGATCTTACTAGTGCAGCCTTCCCTGACTGCAAAAGCCGTGCTCATGCACCCCAGGCCCCCAGAGGCCGAGATGGAAAAGCTGTCTGCACACCACATACCACTTTTTTGGATTCTTGCTGGATAACCCCATCCAAGCCCAGTTGCTTCATGCCCACTTTATCTAGTACACTGACTGTGAGGGCTGAAACAAAACCAAGCACACAGAGCAGAGTACCTGGAAAAGACAAGAGGTGTTATAATTCCTCAGTGTGGAGAGAGCTGAATGACAAAACATGTAATATGCAGAATTCTCTGTGGCTCCTACTCCTGGCTTCTTTTAACGTTTAAGGGTCTCCCTTACTTCAGCCATACAGTGGGACAGAGTCCGTGAGCTCTTTGCCCACGAAGCTTCCAGTGCCAGTGAAGCTAAGCCCGACTGGTCTCCAAAGAAAGCTGCTTTGTTGGCCTATGGGCAGAATGCCTTCTAAACTGCAGCAGGCCTGCGCCTAACAAACCCAGGGTTAAAACAAGCCGGACATTAAGACACTGCCATGGTCCCCTGAGGAGGAGAGGTACGACACACAGGCTGGTACTGGAAGCCAAGTTACACCTCTTCATTTATGTGACCTAATGCAGTCACTACAGCAATCTGACCTGTTGGCACACTCAGCTCCACAGAAGTGAGTCAGATTATGCTGGATATGCCAGAAGCAAATTTGGCAATGAGCATCTGCTGCAGACTTCCTTCTTTCTGAAAGAAATCTGTACCTGTTTTATTTTCTAAAGAGCCAAAACAGTCTCTGTGATGGACACACACTTTGTATGATGTATTTATCCATTCACAGACTACTGAAGTGGTGCTGTGCTTGCAAATGCTGCCTGAGCATGAAACTAATAGTGTCAGATGGGATGTAACACACCATGATCATCTCACTGCACTGAAGAGAGGACAGAAATTCAAATCTTTAAAAATATGAGCCCTAGAACAGATTCACACTAGGAAACATGTAATTCAGATTCTGCTTCTCATAGCAATTTATACCTACAGTTTTGACCAGTCCATGTGCAAGACATCTTATGCTGAGACCAATACCGATACTACTACAGAACCAGCATGTTCCGCTAGCTAAAATATGGAAGAACAAACACGTCAGATTCCTCTTTTGTTTCACTCTGAAGTTTCTGTTCCATGGGATTAAACCTACATTAAGTACTGACTACCTATGACTGAAGAGCGATGGCCTCAGGGGCTGGTACTAGGACCAGCGTTATTTAACATCTTTGCTGGCAACATGGACAGTGGGATCGAGGCACCTCAGCAAATTCACTGACAACACTGAGCATTGTGGTGCAGTCACACACTGGAGGGAAGGGATGTGCCATCCAGAGGGACCTGGACAGGCTGGAGAGGTGGGACATGCAAACCTCATGGAGATCAACAAGGCCAAGGGCAAGGTCCTGCCCACGGGTCAGGGCAATCCCAAGCACAAATCCAGGCTGGGTGAGGAGTGGATGGAGAGCAACCCCAAGGAGAAGGACTTGGGGGTGTTAGTGGATGGAAATGAGCCAGCAATGTGCGCTCACAGCCCAGAAAGCCAACCGTGTGCTGGGCTGCACCCAGAGCAGCGTGGGCAGCAGGGCAAGGGAGGGGATTCTCCCCCTCTGCTCCACGCTCCTGAGAGCCCCCCTGCAGTGCTGGGTCCAGCTCTGGGGTCACCAACATCAGAAGGACACAGAACTGCTCAAGTGGAGCCAGAGGAGACCACAAAGATGATCAGGGGCTGGAGCACCCCCTGTGAGGACAGGCTGAGAGAGTTGGGGGTTCAGCTGGAGAAAAGAAGGCTCCAGGGAGACCTTAGAGCAGCCTCCCAGCACTTAAAGGGGCTACAGGAAAGGGGGGAGGGACAGGACAAGGGGTAACATTTTTAAACTGGCAGAGGACAGATTCAGATTAGGTATTAAGAAAGATTCTTCCCTGTGAGGGAGGTGAGGCCCTGGCACAAGTTGCCCAGAGAAGCTGTGGCTGCCCCCTCCCTGGAAGGGTTCATGGCCAGGTTGGACAGAGCTTTGGGCAACCTGGGCTAGTGGAAGGTGTCCCTGACCATGGCAGGGGGCTGGAAGTAGATGATCTTTAAGGTCCCTTCCAACCCATTCTGTGATTCTATGATTCTATCTTAAAATATCTCAAGAAAACTGCAGACAAAACTGCCAAGCTGACAGTACAGCTTTAGAGAGGGTTTTCAGGAATCAGTGAAGAAAACACAACTCCACTGAATATAGAAAGCAACAGGAAAACCTGGAAAATAATGTGCCTCCTCCTGCTACCTTCACTTTTTCAGGTACTTTTCATAACTGGACAAAACAGGCTACCCTCAGGTTTAGAAAACAAAAGGCCAAAGCGCCAATGCAACTCACCTCCCCAAAGTGTCCACTGCATTCCAAATTTTGCCTCAAACTGCTGGGTGAAGAAGAAGTTGAGAACACTCCCAAGACGTGAGAAAGACAGAGTCAGTCCAAATGCCAGTGCCAGTTCCTTCCCCCTGAACCAGAAGGCTGTGATACGATTCTGCACAACTTGGAGGAGACAAAAATCCTTGTGGCCAAGGGCATTGCATAGAAGCAGCAAGCACAGCCTCTCAAGCTAGAGTACCTGAGCTGGGGTAAGAGACCTCCATGCATCCCAAGAGGAGGTAGTACCGGCTTCACAGTCCATTTTAAAACATACTAAATCATACTGAGACATGGGAGGTGAACGTAATTCCCCACATAAAGCAAGCAAATATACCCCCAAAGGCATAGCAATCACATGTCAGTCCCCACTCCTGGGCAAAGGATAAATTTGTTGGAGGGAAAGAGTTTTAAATGTTTCAGCACAGATTAAATCCATGCAACCCTTCAAGGGGCAGTATTCTTCTCTTAGCAACGTAGGTTCCTGGTGCAAAGCAGGTGAAGCTGACTGGTAGGACAAGGGTCTAGGTGACAAATTAAGAATGTATCATGACCCTCTAGTACGGCATAATTAAGAATGTGAATTCCTTACTAGTAAGTGACCCATTCCCAGAGCCAAAGAGCAGTCTTCCTGTTAGCATCATTGGTAGTAGGTATGGCGACCCCTTGAAATGTGAGCCGAGAGCAAAGACTGATGATCCCAGCACAGTCATAAGAGAGAAAACAAAGACACCAACTAGGGAGAAAAAAAATACACAAACCTCAACAGACATGCTAAGATCAGGACAAAAGCATTCTTTGTCAAAAAGCAAAAGTGCAACCTCAAATCACACCAGTAAACCTGTAAACTCCCATCAGTTTACCCTCATTTTAATTTTGTAAAAACTGGTCTCTTTATGAAATGACTTGGAAATCCTCAAAATAATGATGATTTTATTACCATTGTTATGATTTTATTATAATTGTATATTTATTATCAATGTTAGAGAGGCAGAATAAGTCAGATAGAGGACTCTGAAGTCTGTATAGAGTCCCTGTTCCTGTCCTGAGCTCCATTGCAGACTGTGGCCTAGAACAAGAAATCCCCTTCTGTGTGCCTCTGTCTCCTCATCTGTAAGATGTTTACCTTTAGAGACAGAGCTTATCTTCATTTGCTGGCACTGCTGGGTCTTAGACTATGGCACACGCCAGAACAAACATCAGAGCAGAGAACAGAACACTGTTTTGTCTGATCAAAACCAGATAACGCTATTCCCTGTTATGTGCCTGCCAGAGGAAAGCAGGTTACTGCATTGCCCTGTAAATTCAAGTAAGTCAGTGGTCAAAGGATGAAAACGTCTCAGTTGCCTTCGTGGAGCTGCTCAACTAAGCATCACACACTGAAACTTTGACCGTCCCCTTGCACTGAAAGAACATCCTGAAATCCCACTTCACTACAAGAACAAACAAATCAGTCCTCAGAACTTACAGCGATTTCCTAGTTTATCAATCAGGAATCCAGCCAGAATAACCACTACTGCATTTCTAGGAGAAAACAAGAACAGTAACATTTGTGCCTTGCTGCTGGGAAGCAACTAGCAAACTACCACACCCCACTAAAGCAAGAGAAGCAACTTACGTCCACGCGTAGATGGCGTACAGCAAATTGTACTGTGCAGGTGTCATTCCCAAGCCCTCGACGCAGCCCCGCAGGCTGTCGTGCCCAGTGCTGTTATGATGGGTTCCATTGGGGCAGGTCAAGTTCTGCACAAGAAGTCACAGAGCCTGTGTCAGGCAGCAGACACAGATGAAACCCCACACATCCCTTTAAAAATGAAGTTAATTTCTTGCTTACTAGATGCCTATTTCTCCTACTCTGTTCCCACTTCCATGACCAGGAATTGTTGGACTTGGGTCTTCTCCCAGGAAGACAGCCCTTGTCAAATGAGAAGTGACTGGCCATCAGCATGTCCCATCTCCCCTTTCCCCTTCTGCAGCAGCAGCGGCAGGAGCTCAGCACTTTTATACACATTTCAGTCCAAAAGAAAACCCAGGAGAGTGCACCAGAAGGTTTATCTAATCCCTTAGTTTCTTACCTATAGTTTAGTTTGATCTGACTGTTCATTACATACTATAACGTTTTAAGCAGTTTGTAAATATGAAACTTAGTAGTAGTCCGTATTAATTCACAGCTAATAAAGTATTTGCTGAACAGTAGGAAACTGGTAGTCCTAGCTTGATTTAATAACATCATTTTAGTCACTGAAAAGCAGCATCTCCTCAACTCCATATGATCAGGAAGAAACCCTTGATCTTCCAGCTACTAAAAATGTACCTACATTAGGAAATGGACGCTAAGTTTTCCACACCATTAGGCATAAGAAAAGTGTGATTTTTACCACGTTTTTTATATAGCCATCATATTTGCAAACCTGTCAAATCTGCTGTAGGGAAATGTCTGAGGCTGCAGGGAAACAGTTCTCTAGAACAAAGTGCTTTCACTGCAAGCTTAGATGCTCTGACTACCTCTGTACCACTTGTGTGAGGCAGGTAGAGACTAAATTCACCAGAGTAAAAATATGATGGGAGTGTCAACAGATAAAAACATGGTTTGCACAGTACCTAACTGAAAAATATGGCTTGGCTTCACTACCCTATAAAGTTACCTAGGCAACAAAATATGACAGAATCTTTCCTTTACTCCATAAATAAACGATTCTTCTCCCACAGACCTATGAAGTTGTGGAGGTTCAAGGAATAAATACTGACTTTTTTTTCTTTTTAGTCCTGTTTGCAATGGCAAACTGCACCCAATTTAGCCTGGAGATCACTGAATGATACAGATTAAATGCATTTAAAAAACCCCCCAAAGTTAGATGCAAGCTAATAGGGATTTCTGCCCTTGCTATTGAAGCACCGAGAACTGCGACTCAGCCTGCACGTACTAATCTACCAGCAGATGGCACACGTGAGTAAAATCACCTCTCAAAAGAGGTGAAAGAAATGAAATAATGACAGATAAATGAGTCAAGTAAGAATTTGTCAGGAATTCAGGTAAGAACTTTGAGACTTCGGCATTTCTGGAAAAATCCCAGAAATAACTGGGATATCAGTCTGAACCCTGAACAACAACATTTTGTGGTATTTGAGAATACAGCTAGTTTTTATATGACAGTTCTCCTGTGATCTCCCTGCACAGCTCTGGGCTAGCAAACATATTATGGGATACTTGCAGTATCAGGAGGTATCTGAAGGCTCAGAAAGTCTTTTCTAGTCTCCTATATACTACATCCCTAGGCTTCCAGTCCAGTGTGGGACTAATCATAGAATGACAGAATCACAGACTGGTTTGTGTTGGAAGGGACCTTAAAGACCATTTAGTGCAAACCCCTGCCCCAGGCAGGGACACCTTCCACCAGCCCAGGTTGCCCAAAGCTCCATCCAACCTGGCCTTGAACCCTTCCAGGGAAGGGGCAGCCACAGCTTCTCTGGGCAACCTGTGCCAGGGCCTCACCACCCTCACAGGGAAGAATTTCTTCCTTACATCTCATCTAAATCTACCCTCTGCCAGTTTAAAACTGTTACCCCTTGTCCTGTCCCTACACCCCCTGATCAAGAGTCCCTCCCCCCTGTCCTGTGGCCCCTTTGAGTACTGGGAGGCCGCTCTAAGGTGGCGGTTCCCTCCCTGAAAGGGTTCAAGGGTTGGACGGGGCTCTGGGCAACCTGGGCTAGTGGAAGGTGTCCCTGGCCGGGGCAGGGGGTTGGGACTAGGTGATCTTTAAGGTCCCGTCCAACCCAACCCATTCTGTCACTGCCTCGGGTTCGTGCATCTTCTTCACAGCAAACACACCGGCAATATCCCCTCACCCTGTGCATCCCGAACGGACGACCCTGGAGTATGACTCCTATTCCAACACCGTAAGAAAAGGTTTTGAAACTCCACCGGTGAGCAAACTCTCGGTTTTTCTGGTTCTGCCTTTTTTTGCCCACCCCGCTGCCAGGCTGCAGCCCGACGCCCCGCACTCACCCCCTGGAACTGCTCCTGCAGGACGCTGGGGATGTCGAAGCAGAAGTAGGAGCCGAAGGTGAGGAGGCAGTTGAAGAGGAGCACCACGAACCTGAAGGAGGCTGCGGGGCAGAGAGGAGCCGCCTCAGCCCACCCGTCACCTCCGGGCCCGGCCCGGCCCAGCCCAGCCCGCCCGCAGGCC